AGTCTAATTCTCTGGGACTTAATTAATTATAAAAATAAATCTATTGTTTTCATTAGCTGTTAGGGTCTAATACCCTGAATTTAATTAAAGCTAATTGAGTTCTCCCTTTTTTTCTTATTTAAAAGACACAATAAACAACATCAGGCGTTAAAATTAAGTATATTGTGCTGTTTCGAATGCTTCTGAGGGATTGTCCCTGTTTACTACTACTACTAGTTGTAAACTTCCTGAAATCAAAATGGTTCTCAAGAAAGATTTTAGTGTGGATGAACTTAATGCTGAGTTACACTAATAAATTAAAATAAGTACACCTCTTCTCATAACAAACAGCAGTCATTGTTTATCCCCCTCCTTAGTCATTAAAGGTAAAACTTCCAATTAGTTAAAATACAAAACGTGACCTATTCACTCCTAATTTTCTAATCTGGTGGGAAATTGCCCGAACAACAGCTCTTCCACATACAATTTTTTTTTTTCCACAGCAAAATAAGGAGTTGTTCACAGGACTAGTGCTTATGTGGCAATTAAATGCAGCACAGTACTACTAAACTAGTTAGTATGGAGTCTTAAATCTACTACAGAGAGGGAAAAAAAAAAAAATCATAGTTTCTTGGTACAGTATTTCCTGTCTTGGTTGTGCCTGTGCTTCTTCTGCATTGACAAGGGAGATGATGGGGCAGTTCACAGTGTGGAATTTCTGCTGCTATGGATTCCAGGAAGAGGAATAGTGAACTGCAACGCAACAGGATTACGGAGGACCATGGCTACAGCCGCACTGTTACAGAGGAGTAGATGAGAGGTAGCTGGGAGAAGGTTTTGATTTTTATGGTTCAAGGTAGAAGCAATTAGAGAGTTGTCCCTCTTCTGAGGAAGGAGGAAATTGCATCTATGCAGAGCATCTACTCAGCCTGAAGAAAGAGAGTAGGAGCACTGGGACCAGTTTTGGTTATGTCCTTTTCCAGGAACCCTTCAGTTTTGACACTTGACCAGGGTGGCCTTCATAAAGGCTTTGCTTGTGGTTAGCCTGCTGTGCTGAACTCTTCATATTCATTCTACTTAACACTAATAACTATTAGATAATTCCTCCCGAGCCCATGAGACAGTTCTTCCTTTTTATTGCTTTGTTACCAGTTAATGACGTGTTAGAAACGAGAGTGAAAGATGATTTTGTGGCTTTGTGAGCATGTGATGGCCAACATCAGCATACTTTATAGATCTTTTTTTCACGTGCTGTGCAGTTCCTCGCTTTTGGTACCAGATGGGTATGTATCATGGTTGAGTGTTGGGTCACACATGTACATGGAAGAAATGTCTCCCCTGCTGCCTTTCCTCTCCCACCTTTGGGTACAAGAGGGCAGTTGTGCTGCTGCACAGTGGGACGCTCCCAGCCTCCTCGGAGCAAAAGGCAGTGGATGGACAGCATCGTTCCTACCAGCTACTTCACAGGGAATGAATGCATCTGTTGGTCCAAGTGTGTTTTTTTTTTTGTCCAGACTTTGTCATTTTGTGTGGCAGGTGACTTAGCTGTGTGTATAATACCTGTTTCATTGGAGAAATAAAGTCTGCTGGCAGAAACTAGCAGAATGACTCAGATGCCAGCGTAGCACCTGAGACTGCTTTGAAGTTGCAGTTTGACACTGACTCTCTAATGTTAAAGCCAAGTGGTGTAAGAATGGTGAGCAGCCTCCATGATTAAGGGTAGTATCCAGCAGGTAGCTCAAGACAAACATGAAATAGTGTAATGGTTTCATATGGAGAACTTAAAAATATGGAAATGAGCCATGAGTCAAAGCAATCCATCTTCCCAAGTGCTGATTTGAAAGCTTAGAAACAAATTGCCATTTCTTTTTCAATAATGCTTGGGTGTCATTTCTCTTGTTCCAGAGGTAGATTGAACTTCTTGAATGTTTTCTTTTTGTTAAAGGTTAAAGTTACTTTTATGCCTGTTAGTTAATAAATGGTCTGCTGGGTAGGGAATTAATTTAGAGGAATTTGAGGTGAGAAACTTGCAGGTTTGTGGAAAGAGTTGGATGGAGCATTCACAATTACTATAAGCACTCTGTAATTCATATCTGCCCCTTTTTGACCACGTACAAGTTGTAAATAACCTAGTTTTCCTCCCCCCTCACCATAACATAAAAAAGCAAATTTATTTGGATTTGAGAGGTGGATTTTTGTTCATTTGTTTGACCTAAAGATTGAAGTCACTTGGTTACCTTTGCAAATAAAGGGAGAAGTGTTTAGTTGAAGTGATACAGGTTTTTAGCTTCATCTTCATGTACTGCCCTAATTCTTTGAGTGTCTCTCTTTTCAACTAGTAGAATACGTTTTCACTAACTTAATTTAAATGTGACTTTTGGGTGGAAAATATCTATGGTTAATGCAAGTAATAAAGGGTAAACTGGAAAAAAAACCCCACCCTATAAAAATAGGGCTGAAAGGACACTTGCAGTTCTTAACCATCTGTCTGCATTAGCATTGTGACACCATTGATTTGAGGGGAAAAAAAAAAAAAACAAAACAAAAGTAAAAACCTTGTCTAAGCCAAATGAGGATGGTTTTCTGGGCTTATGCCATCTGTGTCTGCAGGAACTAAATTCTCATTGGGAGGGAGGTGAGGTGTTTGTAAAGCTGTGTAAATAACCCTTCTCTGGGTAAGCTAATGCTGTCTTCTAGATCTGCCAACAGATGGCCCCAATGCCTTGGTTGCTTCCATGGTTTTCAGAGCTCCCTTGAGCCGTAGGAGAGGGAAGAGCAAACCCGTTGTGTTGTCACTATCCATAAGCTTGGTTATGAGCTTAAAACCTTCTTTGCTTCGTTCTTCTAAACGGAGAATTTGACATTCCACAGTAGTTTCTGCCTCTTCAGAAGCTGGTTGTAATCCGTCATTGATAACGAGATTTAAAAATAAACACTTCCCTGTGAATGTTAGCATTTTCTACCTGGTGTTTGTCTTGTTCTCTACTTCTGAACAAGTAGTATCTCCAATTACGTTTCCACTCTGCTATTGCTGCAGACTGCTAAGACAAGCTGGGAGGGCTCCTCCTCATGTCTTCTGGTATAGTTATGAGGCTGTGTTTGGGACTGGTGATTCTTAGGCTGGCGTTTCTAGATTGAGTAAACTCAAGAGGCGACGTGTACAAAGTCTATTTCAATAGAAACAGACAGCTTTTGTGAGGCATGTTTGAATTAATAATATCAAAGCAGTAGGTAAGTATGGGTCTAGTCTCTTCTGCTTTGTGGAGGAAAGACACATGGTATATAGGTATTCGTGGCTAGGACTTGCCTCTACCAGGTGCTTAGCCTTTCTTGTTTAGAGTTGAGCAAAACATTTGTTAACTTGTAAATATATGAGTAGTTCCATCAGCTCTGATGGAACTGGTCAGTGCATTAACTGCACTTTTTTTACTTTTGGATGGCTATTAGTTCATGGTGGTCCTCTTTGCAGGAGGGACCCTAACACGTCTGCTAAGGATCTGCTTCTTGAAATTTTGTCTTTCTCTCTTTAACTAAATGTTCACTATAGAGTAACTCAGTGGAGAGCCTCTGAGGGGACAAGAGGCATGGGCATGTTCTCTTAGCTATGAACAATTTTGTTAGCGTATCTCTCCTAATTCCAGTTGACAGCACCCATCCAGTCCTCGCCCAGTACAGCTGGCATGACAGCTCCCCCTCCTTTTCTGTCACACTCATTGCTAGGTTCTGGTTGCAGGGAGCAGGTTCCATTTACAGCTGAGTTGATGACAATATTTTTCTTCTGTAAACAGCAAAACACCAATCTTCTAATTTTGACTTGGACCTGGATTTCATTCTGTGGACGTTGTCAGTAATGGTGTCTGCACCAGCAACATTTCCTTTGATAAAACTGCAGTAATGTTTTACAAATCAACGTTCACATAACCATTCTGAAAAGCTGTGATGCTACCTAATGCCCACACAAATTATTAGCTGTGCTTTCTGCTCTAAAGGAGTGCTCTTGAAATGTCAAACCCTTGCTGTACGTGTTTGCAAACTTAACTTTAAATGATAAGCTCAGATCTCACTCATTATACATAATTGTATCTTCTCTCTGTAGGAAAAGATCTAATGCTGAGCACTGTCTTAGCTGCCTCTGAGTAACTCTTCAGATTTGATACATGTCTATTACTTTGCAACCATAAAGTATTCTAACAGCAGCATATTCTTTAATTGCTTTGAAAGGTAATGTTTTGCTGGGACATCTGGGTTGTGAATATAATGCATGAAATTTATGTCTGATGTGTTAATTTGCTTGACTGTTGCAAAGCCAGTGATTCTCTGCTTTTTTTTTGGTGAATTTTGACTTTCCGGTCGTTGCTTGCTGGATTTATTTCTGCTGAGCAGGCTCTGTCTTAATATTTTCTCTAACTAAAGAGTAAAGATTAAAGCTATTTTGTTTTGCCAAAGTGTTCCTTGATAACAAAAAAATGGGATTAAGTTAATTTTTGTTGTATTTAAAGCTTAATTTAATATTCTCTCACTTATTCTAAGGTACACTGTGGCTTAACAGTTAGGAGTTCCTTGGCTTGTCACTACTTAAGGGCACAGAACTTTCTGTATATCATGGGTGAAACTTCTTTTCCCCCTTCCAAGTCCTAATATTTTATATATGGCAAGTTTGGCCAAGGGTAAGAGCTAGATACCAGTTTTGTATAGTAGTCTCTTCATTGGGGATCGCAATACCCTCGTCTAGGGAAAATGTTAGTGGTCATCTTGAAATGCTTGGTTGATGTGGATCCTAAAAAACAAAACAAAACAAAAAAACCCAAAACCTGAGTAAGAAGAGTTCGGGCATTGGTGTCGAGTCATGCAGAAACTTGTGCTAGTTTAGCCTTTGAAAAGCTTGTGTTATTTAAGTCGTTTTGGTCATTAGATGATGACACTTGGCAATCTCCTTCTTCCCTGTTATTCCGTCAGCGTGACTTCTCCTAATCTGTACTAGTGCAGGTAAGTCACTGCGTTGGCCGTGGAGGTGGTACCCGATGCCGAGAGATGTGGGACAGCCTGGCCCCATTACTTGTGTCCCTGTAGCCGTGGAGGGTTCCTGGTATTGCAGCAAAAACTTTGGAACAGAATTCATGGCGCCTCTTCCAGCAGGTCAGACCTTTGCAATTGCTGCTCAGCAGTAACAAATGCGAGAAGCAGGAACTGGCTGACGTGGCACAAAGAGTTTTAAGTACCAGCGTGCTGGGGTGCAGGTGGTGCTGTGGAAGGAGAAGGGGGTCCGAGTCTGTTTGGTTTTAGTCTCTTGGGGTTACTGTCCCACCTGCTTTTAAGAAGACCTGCACTGCAGAGATTTCTGTGCCTGACCTTCCACAGGAGGCTTCTCCTTTATCTGTATATTCCTCCAATCTTACTACCAACGTTCTCTCTAGACTTGCCTTTTAAGTGTCAAAACCTCTGACTCACAAATTCTGCCCAGTTGTTTCCTTTGCCTTATCTCTAGTCAGCCTCTTTCCTCTTCGCATAATCCCTGCATCAGTTTCCATCCTTTTCCACATACATCTCCTTGCTTATAGTAAAAAGTGAATATAGCGTTCTTCCAAAAAGCAAATGAAAGCTAGTTTGGTAGAATAACTGTCGGAGAAAGTGTCAGTGAGATTCAGCATGAGTAGTGATTGCAGTGTTAAATGAAACTCTTTGCCTTTTCCTTTTGACTTGTGGGGAAAACAATTTATAGAAACTTGTCAGGCTTACTAATCTATTTTACCTATGCATGCTTCTAGCCAGTTATTTAGATTAGTTGGAAAAAAATCCAGTCTGAAGGACAGGAAATTCTGAATAAATGTTCCTGGTTTTAATCCTTGCAGTTGACTGTAGTGGACAGATTGCAATCAACACAAACTTGTCCGTTTATTCTGAGTTAAGACTGTTATGTGCATCGTTTTTATGTAAAAAAAGATGTATTTGTGTAAAATGTGTAGGTGCTTCTAAATGAACAGTAATGATAAACTGTGGTCTCCAAACCAGTTGAGTTTTTGTTATCCTGACAATATCTAAATGGAAGACTTGCAGATTTACAGAATGTAATGATACATCTCTGGAATTTTTGTTGTCTTTGTGTATCTTTTGTTTCTTTTTAATAACTTGGTTTTTTTTCCCTATACAGGGTGACTTAGCAGCTGTTGAACAGCTGCTGAGAAATGGGGCAGATCCCAATGTCAAAGATAATGCTGGCTGGACACCACTGGTGAGTGTTGAAGACTTTTTTTTTTTTTTTGTCATCTGCCTTCTTATCAGATTTCATTTCATCTGTCGTTTCCTCTCTTATATTTTTAGTTCCCTTTACATGCGTTTAGGTGACAAAGAATTACAGAAAGTGAAGAAGTGATGTTAAACAAGTTTAAAAGAATTTATTAGCAACTACTGACCTGTCCAAATCCAGCTCTCCTTTGCGGGAGTAGAGCATGCCAGGAGATCTATTGGCCTGCAATTCTGTAAATGTAGAAGATAAAACTATGATAACTAGAAAATGATCAATTGCAGACAATGTGTGTATTTTGTGGGTTCTTAATGTCCTCAGTGTTTTTTACCATTTTGGAAATATATCAAGTAGTTGAATGAAAAAATTGCTCACTTGAATTACAGAAAATAAAGAAAAGGTTCTTTTTGACCATGGCTTCTTCCTCTCCTGAAGAATACTCTTGAAAAAGAGTCTGTAATCTGGGAGGCTTTGTTCCCTGTAGTCTAATTTGCACACAGTTGGCCTTTGTTCAGTTCTTCTCTGTGCTTTTTTTGGCGCTAGGTTCCCAGGTTAATTCATGTCAGGAATGTAATGCGGTATCCTTGCATCGTCTTCCCTGACCATCTGCTTAGAGGTGTTTGAAAACGAATGTGTTAATTGGTGAGACAGAGATCCTTCCTCTGAATTCTGTTTCACTTGAGTTTCCTCTCTTTGCTCCTTGTGGATTTACCCAACTAGCACGAGGCATGTAACCATGGGCACAAAGAAGTGGTGGAGCTGTTGCTACAATACAAGGCGCTGGTGAATACTACGGGGTATCAGAACGACTCGCCGCTTCACGATGCTGCCAAGAACGGGCATGTGAGCATTGTTGAGCTGCTGCTTTTGCATGGTGCCTCTCGTGATGCAATGTAAGTACGTCTGGAATGTTATTTTAACTGGGGGCATTAGCTACACCTACAACTTCCAAGGGGTGTGTTAAGTAAATATGAAGCAAAGCTAGTAATAAATGTGATTTATTTGAAGTGAGGGAGTGGGAGTTAAACATATGCTCCACTGTACTTACATCCTCATTTTCCAGGTAAGTGTTTCCTTTTCCATTTTGCTTTGTCGTAAGCTTTTCTGAAGATATCGGAGTCATGGATAGCTGGAGCATTGGAGATGGTACTAGGAAAGTAACAAAATAGGCTTACCCTATTCTTACACTTTTCTGTTGGCATCTTGTTATAGCTCCTGTTAGATCAGAGATGATGAGCTAGATGAGTTTTGAAATGCCACAGCTGGTTTTTGTCTCTTTACTTGCTAACAGAAGGTGTTTCAGTCCAGTCTCTTCTACCTTTACAAATGACATAGACACAGGCTGAGATTTGGGGAGTGTTTATTTATTTTTCCATTCTGGATCAAAGCACTAATCCTTGGTACACTTAAATTCAAAAAAAAAAAAAGCTCAGAAATATTTTCAGTTGAATATTCTATACGGTTATGCCTCCTGAATATTTTGGCATTTGTATATAGGAGGTGCTAAAGAATCTGTTAGTGTATCAGTAACCTTGCAAAGCTATTAGTATTTCAGGCACTAAATATGGTTTTAGTGGTGTGGTGTTGCTGTTGTGCCGGGGCTTGTGTGTATAAAATTTGTCCAATGCATGTTGTCAATAGGTGTGCATATATAGTAACAAATTTTTGCATGACATGATTTTCCTTGCTGACTGCATAAAGAAGCATAAACAAGTTCAGTTTAATCACTTCAGCTCTCAGTATTTGCTCTTGAAGCTTACAGAATTAAAGTACGCTGTAGAAAAGCATGGAGTTTTTGAAAACAGTCCTAATCTTGAATATCCTGGATCTGTAGAAAAGCATGGAGTTTTCTTTGAAAACAGTCCTAATCTTGAATATCCTGGAGTTTTTTTTAAAAAAAAAAAACCAACAACAAAGCAACAAAACAAATCCACAAAACCTAAGCATGAAAAAATAAAACAAGGATCAGTTGTTCATCTTCACTTTGTTCTTGAACAACAAAGACCAGCACATTACACCTTGAAAACCCGACAGCTTCAAAAACTAATTTTCAAGCCACTTGAATATTGGGAGCCGGTTGTGTGACACTTCCAGCTTGTCTGTCGGTGTTTGAAAGTGTAGCACAGCCATCAGCTTTGGTGCAAGGTTTTGACAGGACTTAGGCACTGGTAAGTTGGCACAGCAGAGACTCCAGATGCCAGCAGTGGACTCCTCACGTCCCTTATTAGTCTCTGCTGCATGTGTTTACGCAAACTGGGGTGAAGCTGACTCTCTTTCCGCTCATTCTGCGTGAGCAAACAGGACTTTCTGTTGAAACAGAAGGGTTTTTTAAATCATGGAAAGGGAGATTTATGGAAACCTTAAACTCTGGCTTAGCTTTTGACTGAATACAGGTAATGTTCAGTTATATGTTAAAACAATGTGACATAGGATATGTTACAACTCTGCAAATAGCCACCTCTTGTAGTACCTCTAAGGATCCAAAATGGCTTATAAGGATGCCCTGTTCTTGACTTAATCTCCAGGGTACTTGGAATCACTGATGTGTGGTGTTAATAAAAGAAAAAAAAAAAAGTAAATATATTTAACTTAAAATCTTTTGGGGAACAAATTTAGCCACTTTTAGTCTTTGTTTCATTTTTCTGGCAAAAAGAACCACAAGTGCTCTGGCAAAAATCCAGTTCTGTACATCCCCCTGCGGGACAAACTAAGGCTTCTAAATCTTCTGTGGGCTCTCTATCTCTGGCTGAAATGTTGCTCTGTGTGGTACTGTTGCATTGGTGACAGAAAGGTTGGGTTGTTTTTTTCTTTTCCCCCCTATTTTTACAGAGAGCATTAGAGACATAGAGAAAAGGATGTACAAGCAAAGTGCTCAGACTGGAGTAGTAAGACTTTACCGACCTCTTGCAAACACTACTAAGAAACAATAGAATCAAGAATATATCTGAAGACTACTTGAGAATTTCTTGTGCCTTCCTCTGCCCTGTTCCTGTGCCCTGCTAGCTTCCAGCAATGAATTGTGTCATGATCTTTCTCTGGATCATGACTTTGCAAATCCTACAGGGTTTTTTCTGCCACTGCCTCTGGTAGTTGTCTTAATTAAGCAGTTGTTGGATTTGTCTAGGTAAGTGGATTTGAACCTTCTTTAATGCAGAAGGTTTAAGTATTTTTTTTTTATTATTCTAGAGAATGCAGGTACCCTTATAATGAAGTCATATCTGACAAGAAGCCTCCTTTTTCTTCAGTGACTTTTCTCCTAGATCCCTGAGACCAGCAGACCACAGTTTTAAAAACAGAAGGCGAGAACAAGGTGACCACTTAAGATGGTGCAATTAAGTTCTTTTCAGTATGGCTAGTTCTAATTGACCTCTTTGTACTTAATGCAGGATCTGCTCACCTTCATGTTATTACTTTAGGATCTTTAAAGTAGAAGTTGAGCAGTGATGAGTAGAACTTTCATCTCCTCAAAGGTTCATTTTCTTCAGAAGTATATCTGAGGAGTGCTTTAACTTCAGAGGTCTGCAGTGTGTGAGCTAAGACTATACCAAACCAATTTTGCCAAACTGATAAATATCTCTAGCTTTAGTTTGTGGGTTTTTTTGTATGTATGAAACTCTTTCTGGTTCTTTTGTGGGCTCGTCAGGCTCATAATGAACTAACTTTCAGCCCAGGAGAGGGCCCTCTTTATTTCTGGCATATTAAAGTGATTTTTCATTACCTCATGGGGACAAGGAGGAAAGTTTGATTAGTTCTCTGTAATTTCTTAAAGTCTTTTCCTTTAGCTAAATTGAGTAAATTGTGAACGTGATAAACGTGTTCAAATGTTACTTGGGACACTATGAAATACCCAGCATGAAACCCCGCAGAAGTGACTGATGTCTTGCTGCTGTTTTGACCACAGAATTAACTCAGTTTTGTGTCTTAATGTCCCTTGTGTGTTGGAGAGTTAATCTACTGGAATAAAAACAGAGCTTGTGTTGAATAGCCTGCTTACAGCAGTAGTTTGGAAATTTAGGATGATACTCAATTGTGCAAGATGAAATATTTTTTTCAAGACGTGCATTATTTACCGACTGCAGGCCCAAAGGCAGGTAGGATCCACTGGTCTGTAGAGGGATGGAAGATGTATCTGGGAGCAAATACGGCTGCTTTCCAAGGGACTTCAGTTGGTGATGTGCACAGATATTAGCATAACCCTATCCATCAGAGAGCTGAGAACTTGCAATTTCAGATTTAGATCGTTAGGCTGACAGACCTGTCAAGTACCTCTCGTTCTGAGTGTCTCCCAGTCTAGTTTTTTCTCCTTGCATCTAAATACATAGTGCATTAAGAAGTTAAGAAGTAACTATGTAATATCAAGCAGCTGCATATCTTTTGGACCAAGCAAATACAGATGAGAACTACCTCTTTTGCCAGAAAACAATCTTGAGATTTCAGTATTCCTTGGCAATTTTATTTTTTTTTTAAATCTTACAGATTTAATAGTTGTGGCACTTCATTTGCCGTTCAAAGTTTTCACCGACTGGGAAAGATATCAACTACAAATGAAAAATATTATATGGACCAGTGGACCTATTAATTGTCCCGCTGGTCTAGTTAATTTTTTTAAGTTAATCTCCTACACATAGCTAATTTATATTTTTATAGCTTTTTTTTCATGTGCTCACTCTCCAATTCTGTCTTTTTTCCTTGCTTCACAGCAAGCCAAGTGATTTGAAAAATTAGATCTGTGCGTTTGCAATTTCACAGTACTTCCTAAACGCTTTCACTCAAATGGGCTATCTTGCCAGTTCTTCATGCACAGTAAGTTTAGCATTAGTAAAAATTGTTGTGTTGCCCTATTTTTTTAGGTGTTAGCTGGTTTTGAGTAGTTGTGAGCCTGACTCTGAACAAGCCTGTGGGAACGCTTAGGGATAGACCGTGGTCCTCAGTTATGAATGGCATAGGGGCAAAAGCTATTATAACCTGCAGTTAATTCCAGGAGGTGTTAGACCTATGACACTGACATAATTTTGTCTGCTTTTTCTAAGTCAAGATAGCGTAGGACTTCACTCTCTAAGTGCGAGACAATATGCTTAACTTCCTGCTGGCAGCAGGTTAATTAAAACCCTGGCCCTGTTTGGATATCTAAAACAGCCTTTCTGGCTACACTGATTACATTTTCTTCCTTTTATCAGGTTCAGAAAAGACTTCTGCTTACCACGCTCTCGAAATAACAAGTGTTCTCTGGAGAGCCCCAAACTGGTCAGATTTCCACATGGGAATTGGCGTGCTGGGACCTGAATGGGGAACTTCCATTCAGTACTGAACTCTTTTGTGGGTCTGGGGTAAAATTTGGTTTATGCTCAGCTGTGGAACAGCAAATAACTGCTGATGTCAAAAGGGAACAACTTAAAACTCCTGCTTACAAAGTATTATATACTCATTGTTGGCTTATAACAAAAGCTGTGAAAGTTTGGGACTTTTAAAGAATTGACAAAGATCTCTCTCCCTATTTATCTTTTCTCTGATTGCTTGTTTCGTGGAAATTTACTGAAACATTTAGAAGGTAGCTGTTAAGTTTCTTTTTGACTACAGCAGTAACCTCTGTCTTTGTACCTAAGACTTCAGCAATGTTGCACCATAAACTGAATCCCATTTCTAAAGCTTTTCATAAGAAGTTCTTTGATCTGTCAGTCCTTAAGATACCATCTGTCATCTCATGTAAAGCCATACTCAGCAGATTACACGGAGTTGCTCTTCATTGGGCTCATCTTTGTTCTCGGCACAGACATCCTCCTCTTTGATTGGAATTTGTTCTAGCTGTAAGAGCCCTCTACTGACTATTCACTACCTTGATGACTGACTAATAGGAGACTGCTTGCATCAAAGGATACATCTGACTCTTGAGTGTTGAAAACAACTTGCAAGAAGCCCACTTGCATTCTGGTAGCAGGAGGTATGCCTTAGAGACCTGACGTTCTGGCTTAAGCACCAGAAACGCTTATTTCTCTCTTGTAGAAACAATTGTGTCTGTCTTCCCTCTGAGCATGAAACTTGCCCTGATAAGCAGCCATGTCCACTGGACCCGTTCAACAGACTCAGATCTGTAGTAGGAACACACCCACATGTAGTTACTGATGTTTCTAAAAATGCTGTGTTTATGTGTTAGAGTGGACTTAACGTGTGTGTCCCACTGAATTTTGTTTTGCCAACTGGATCAAAATTCATTTCTTACTCTAAACAGGGCAGGAGATTTATCCTGTTCAGCCTGGCTGAATAAAAACAGATTTGAGCACACGTTTTTTGCCCAAAACTGCTTTTTCCTGTTCCCGTGCCTTGCTGGTGTTCTTGTGGCTGCATAGATCTGGTCCTTGATAAGGTTAAAAATAATATATGTTCCTAATATATTAAAAATGGTTTCTCAAGTGACTGCTCTGATGATTTGTACCAGCCCAACAGAGACCTGGGCAAGGTTTCTTTCTGATCATGATTACTTACTTTTTGGATGGTTAGTGAGTGCCTGACTAAAAAGAACAAATCTGGTTTTCATCCTTTTTCTTTGGAAAGGCTGCATAAATTAAAACAATAACATACTCAAAACCTATTGTCTGGATGTGTTCCTTGTCTTAGTTTTTAATTTTGTAAATCCTCTTTTCTCCTGTTTCAGCTACTTTTTCTCACCTTCTTTAAGCTCAACAAGCCGCTTTCTTTTGTATATTCAAAACTCTTAAACCCATCCCTTGAGCCAGTATTCCTTTTTTCAGACCTCAGCTCCCAAGTTTGTCACATTTTTCTTTAACCGTGCCACTTTAGCATCCTACAAATAGCCATTCTTCAATGCTGCATAATGATGGGATGGCATTATGCAACATACTGGTAATAAGTGACTGACATTATCTTAAAAATGGAGGAAAAAAAATTTAAGAGAATATAGAGGGGGCTAGCTGGAGCTCTTATTTGTACAGTTTAACTGGCAAAAAACGTTCTATATTTAACTGTGATGGCCTGTATATTTATCTATGGTAAACACTCAGGAGGTTTTTTTTTTTTCCAACAGTCAAGGGTCTTGCTGTGACTGAGGTGGGGAAAACACTCCCAAACCTCTGCTACTGACGTGCAGTGATTTCTTCCCCCTGCTTAGTTCACAGTAAAAGGTCAGCCATCTAGTCTGAAGGTGATTTTAGTGTATGTGCTAATACATACATTCACACGCATACACCCCCTGGATGCATTGTTCAGAGGAACTGTCCTGCAGCAGTCTTGAGTTGAATATGGCCTTATTTAAGGAAAGAGCAAGAGCTACCCTGATGATGCATGACAAAGCAGGAACCAGCATGACAATATTTAATGGGCTGCAACTCCCAGGACTGGGCTGAGATTTAACCAATTATCTTTTAGTCTGCAGAATTTGTGTTACTCCAGCTCTTTGCTCATTAGGAACACACAAGAGCTTGGGCTTGGTAATATTGTAAAATTAGCAATTGTAGAATACCATCCCAGAATCTGCGGTGTGGGATTTTTGTGGATTGTTGTTTTCTCAGGAGGTTATGGTAGTGAGCAGTGCTCAGTCTGGAGCACAGAACGGTGCTGAGGTCAGATGCATCTTTCAGCTTTGCACTGCCCCAAGTCCCCCGTTAAGTCAGACTGAAGACTTAATGATTTGAGCTTCTCTTTGGGCTGGGTTGGGTTATGGTCTTGTTGTGGAATTCCCTGCAAAGCTTCTTAGATTCCTACTCTGCACAGGAACGTGTGGCTAGCTAAGAGATAGCGCTTCGAAGATGCAGTGATTTTTTGACCCCTTTAAATGTTTCACTGTTTGATGACTAAGCTTGCTGGATTTCAGATAGTAAGTCAGGGCTTTGTTCTTGGTGACAAGCTTCCCCTTCCTAACGAGCTCTTATTATGCCTTTTGAGAGCCAGAGCTACATGAGGTAGGGAGAAGAGGATCAGCTGGAAGAGCCATTATTCTTGCAAAGGGCAAAGCAAGCGGAATATTTCCCAAGAGTGATGGCAGAGGATCGTGTTTGTTAACAGCAATTATACCTGTTCTGCAGTTTCAAGCTTTCCTCTGCTCACTACCATCCTGCAGCTGCAAAGATGTGTGAAGAGGAGATGGAAGCCGTGGCTGTGCTTGTTGTTGTGTTTATAGCAAATCGTATCCATCTGACTAATGTTAAAAGAATGGGGGAGGAAAGAGGTCTTGAAGCGTATCTAATGAGGTGCCACATAGGATGAATAGTGTTCAACAAAACTGGCAAACCAAATAAAATTTGAATGAATTGGCTATAATATGTTCTGTGGAACAGCACACTGAGGGGAAAATGAGATGCATACTCAAATTTTGGAAGTGCGAGGGAATCACAGTTTCCAAGTAGGAAGCAGATAGCTTTTCCCATAGAAGCATAACCACGTCAAGCTCCAATCTTTAACATAGTACGTGGAATCTTCTGACGCGTCTTTTTATGGCAAATGGGTAAGCCAAAAATACATTTTCTTGGTTATATGACTGCAATGAAAGATTAAAGCTGAAATTTCTGTGTCTTGTGAACGATATCGAAGTGCATCTTGAAGCAGTTTAAAAAGGATTGTGGTTTATTTAACTGAACATGCTGCTCTGAACATCCCTTACTCCTCAGCTGAATGCAGCAGCTTGTAATTCAGTATCCATCTGTCTTGGATGCAGTTCTTACTTGAAGCTTAGTGGTTTTTAGCTGAAATTACATATTAATAAGAAAGTGGGAGGGAAAGCTACCCAGCTAATGTGCCTAGTTAGTTAAGAATCAAGTCACACTTTATTTACTTAAACCCATCTGTGCTTGTTTTGCCAGTAATATATTTGGTCTGCGGCCCGTGGACTACGCAGAAAGCGAAAAGATGAAGTCTGTGCTAATGTTACCAGTGAAGAATGAATCGTTTTCCCTTAACCAGCCCTCTGAGGTAAATGTGTGTGGTTTGTTTTGGTTTGCTTTTTTAAAAAAACCCATAAGTTCAACCTGTTGAGTATTGAAGGCTTGGACCTAAGTACAGTACATCGCCTGCCTTTCCAGGGAGTTTTAAAATAGGTTGGGAAACTAAGTTGGACAATATTTCTAGAATGTATATGGGATGCTTGCAAGCTATGATGGTCTGTGTTATAGCTTTATCTGGGAAAACAAAGGATGTTTCTTGTAAAGTGGCTTTATTATAGGAGAATGAATGCTGTGTTATTCTTGAAGTATTTTTGATTGAACTTTGCTGCTGTTGTTGTTGTTGTTTTTCTGCATATGTAAATTTGTTCTGCTTGCCAAACTGGCTGAAAGTAGCAGCAGTCTTTGCTCCAGGTGCTTTTTGTGTGCCTTTAAAAGGCTGTTTCAGTATCGTCTTTTGTCCAACAATGAAGATATCAGCTCAGCAATTGAAAACAGCTTTTGGAAGATTGTTTTGGGGTTTTTGTTTTTCCCCTCTTTTTTGCCAAAGACTTCTCAGGACTTGTGACCAAATCAGGTTATTCAGACTTCACAGGTGACTGCATTATGAAATGCTTTGTAGTTCCTAATGAATGATGACTAAACTGACCTGGCTGATACAAGCAGTCTCAGTATACAGCCTCCTGTGATCCCTCCTCCCTGAGGTAATAAGGTACCCATTGGCCAAAAGTTAACTGTTATAGCTAAGTCAGCAAGGATGTGACTGTTCCTCCCATGTGTAGCAAATATAAGATGCAGCTCTTCTGTCACAAACAACACAGTATTTACATTTGCTTCGGGAGGAATGCGTGCCAGTGGATGGTTACCAGCTCATATGGATGACTTGATCCAAAGCCTGAGGCTTTAGAGTAACTGGGTCTCAAAGGTAGGTATGTACTATGGAATCTGGGAGTACTGAGGAAGACCTGGGAGCTGAAGTAATCACATCCTTGTCATCATAAAATTTGAGCAAGCAGCTCCTCTTACTCTGCATTAGCAGTATCCACATAAAAAACCTTAAGTATTCATTAGTTACAAAGCAATTAGGGACTTCTTAGTAAAAGGAAATGCAGGTGTTAATTATATAGGTTACTCAGTGTGCGGGTGGTGTAACTGTTGATAATCCTTCACAAAAAGTAGGAGACTTGACTACTTTATTAGGAATTTTTTTTCTCCTTCAACACTGCAGTCAGCAAGACTGTTTACACAATGTTCAACCAGCTATATGTGTGGACACCAGTGTCGTTTAGAAAAAAAAGCAAGGAAGAAAAACTTATGAACCTTTTTTCATCTAGAGCTGGTTTGTTATATAAAGATCTATTTATGGACCCTGTCCACTAAGCTTGCCATGAATTGTTTTTCAAAACACTTTTTCTTAATAAATAAAACTGTGAAACAAATTAGTTGCTTTATGTTCCCAAACATTCAGCTTATTGTAGGATTTTCTGTTCACGCAGGCACTGAGCCCCAGCCAGCCAAGAGCTGGACCTCTTGGTATACTGGGGAGCAATCTTAGTTCGGAGCAACAGAAATTGCTGAACAAACTGGCAACAGTTCTGAAGGCTCAAAGGTGTACTGAATTCAACAGCAGAGGTATGTAGGCTTGTTGAAGTGTCCAAATATGAGTAACTACAGTTCTGCACTTTCTCCTTTAAGACACTAGCTGCAACAGATTTTTTTTTTATCGTTCCTAATAAGTGCAGTTTCTGAAATCCCTGAGTTATAGCCATAGCAGAGCGATGGTGTGGTTTTGCATGTACATGCATGTAAAGCCTGCCTGGTTACTGAGGCAGGAGACTTCTAGGGCAGCCACTTTAACAGTATATTGTCTGTTATTTAAAATCTGTAAGTCTTCCTCGAAGACCTCTTCTCTTTACACTTCTTTTACCAACTTTAAGGTCTCTGCTCATATGAGACGTCCTGTAAGGATTTTAGCTTCCAGAAGTGAGTCTGAGGCAGATGGTGCCTTTAGAAAAAGCATGGCACTGACTAAAAATTGACAAATTTCTTCTCACATGCTGCCTTCCTTCAAATTTTGTTCTTTATGAAGATGATGGAGTCACGTTACGGGGCTTGGGGGATTTGTTTTGTTCTCTTTTGGGGACAACAACATTGTCTTAATCCCTCCTATTAGTTTTTCTTTGGAGTGCTGCTGCTTCTGCTTGTGAAAGAAATGCCAGGGTAGCTTTCCCCTACCATCTTTCACACCCTGATTACTACTCCAGAATTGTGAATTGAGTTCCATTAGCTTTGTGTTAAAGCGGTGAGATCCCATAGTAAGATCCCTGTCAGAATTACATATAACTTTAAAAGGATTGGAAAAAAAAAATACTATCCTATAAACCAGAGCCTCCTTTGAAGATTTAATGTTAGCTTAGAACTATAAAAATGTGACTTCCTTTTTTCACAGCAAGTATATGTTGAAGCCTACAAAATTTCTAATAACACTTCTACTTACCTTGTATCTTAGTCTCAGGAATCACGTACTTGTGCTGGAAAAGAGTGGTTGATAAATTATTATAGTCTGGTTGTTCTTTAAATGATGATTGATTGCTTCTCAGCCAGGCATGATTCTGATTTTTATGTGCTTTTAGTTCTACTGATGTAATCTTTCTCCTAGTAACTCATCTTGTTATCCCTGATGTTCCAATGCCAAGTACTGTCAAATGTCTGATGGCTGTTCTGACGGGATGTTGGGTCCTCAAGTTTGAATGTAAGTATAAAAATATATGAGATTCTTCAGGCTTTTTAGCAGAAATTGTAGATGGGATTCCAGAGAAAAATCTTCTTTTTCAACAAGTGACCTAATATCAATACTAGCTTAAGGTTAAACGTGATGGTTTTGGTTTTTAATCTCCTGCACGACAAGAGATTTAATTAAATACAACTACTCCTTCCTTGGCAAATGTGTGCATTTCATTATTGGATAGGTCATACCCTAAGGATCAGCGGGAAGTGAATTTGTTCATTGCTACATTAAGAGTGATTTGAGAGATTATGGGAAATATCCTGGAAGAGGAGGAAGGAATGTATTAAATTTGTGGATTTCTTATAAGCAGCTTCCATTGAAATTGATAGGAAACTTTTGCTTGCTTGGAGTATGTGATTAAGGCCTGTAGGAAGGTAAGGTGTTATCTATCTATTTAAATAAAAATCTATTTATTATTTGTTTGTCATAAGCTGAGATACGTTGAAAGTTATAACTTCTAACCAAAGTTATGCTGTCAGCTGATCATAACCCCTGTTGGTACTGTCTGTTAAATTCTCTGTTTGTTGAGAAAGTTGCCATGCTCTACGCAATCAGGCTCAGGCAAAGCAAATATATATAAATATATATAAAAATATATATA